GTGTTATGGCTTACTTAGCTTATTAGAGTGGGACACTGTGGACCTAGAATATTGCACCTTTTTACAATATTCTAATTTACTGAGATTGTGGATTTGGAGTTTTCATGAGCTGTAAACCATAATCATCACACTTATGACAAATCACGGCTTGAACTGTCTTGCTTTGCATGTAATGCGTCTATCTCATATATTAGTTTCCCCTTTTACGTTACATTACTGAAATAAATGATGTTTTGCACGATATTCTAATTTTTTGAGTATCACCTGTATGTCTGTTCAGGCGTAATTCGCCTCTTTCATATTATGTGCACCCACACTTATTATATATCATTTTATTCAGGGGAAACAGGGCTTTCATTTCAAATCAAATATTTAGGTATGAAACATAATTTAATATGAATATAATATAAAAAAAATGGGAGAAAATTAGAATTTTAAAACTTTTAGTTCTACAGGACATTTTAACTGTGAATGTCATAATACTGTTTGCTTTTACTGCAATAAAATACACATATTTGTATTCAGCAATGTCTCACATGTAAAACAGTACCCCCTATGTACAGGTTTTATGGTGTTTTTGGAAGTTACAGGGTCAAATATAGCATGTTACATTTTTCAGTTTTTTTCACATTGAAATTCGCCAGATTGGTTACGTTGCCTTTGAGACCGTTTGTGACTAAGTGGCTACTAAAAAAGACTGGACATACCCCATTTGCAATACCTTGGGTTGTCTTCTTTTGCAAATGGTATGCCATCATGGGGGTAATTTCATTCCCGGGTTACCAAGGCAACATAACCAATCCATAAAACCTGTACATGAAGGGTACTGTTATACTCAGGAGACTTCGCTGAACACACATATTAGTGTTTCAAAACAGTAAAACGTATCACAACAATTATATCGTCTGTGTGCCATTTGTGTGTGAAAAATGCAAAAAATTTCACTTTCACTGACGATATCATCGTTGTAATACATTTTACTGTTTTGAAACTAATATTTGTGTTCAGCAAAGTCGTCCGAGTAAAACAGTACCCTTCATGTACAGGTTTTATGGATTGGTTACGTTGCCTTGAGACCCTATGGTAGCCCAGGAATGAAAATTACCCCCATGATGGCATACCATTTGCAATAGTAGAGAACCCAAGGTATTGCAAATGAGGTATGTCCAGTCTTTTTTACCATGTACAGGTTTTATGGTGTCTTGGAAAGTTACAGAGTTAAATATAGTGCTAGCAAAGGGCTTTCGGCCTGGGTTGTCAGGCAGGTCCTGTAAATTGTAATGAATAAATTGACCTAATTATGTAAAATTATTACATAAATATATACTTAGAATTATTATTATTAGATATATATACGTGTGTGTATATATGTATATGTGTATATATGTATATAATTTTAAATGGTATAGGTATATATTTAGTGATATATACGTATATAGATATATATATATATATATATATATATATATATTATTTCGTTCTTAGTGTATTTTGATATCAATATATACTTATTTTAAAATACAGTTATAAGGAAATTACATATATTTTTATTTATTTATTATTATTTATTATTTTATTTTTTAACGTATTTACATATATATTTATTTTATATTGTATATAAATATATATAATGATAATTATATATATTTAATCAATATCATTATACGTGTACTTTGATATTAATATTTATTAAAATACACTTAGACAGTGTATGTGTATTTATGTGTATGTATGTGTATGTGTGTATATATATATATATATATACTTAGATCAAACTGGTGCAAACTGGTCTTGGAGTACAGCCTCAAGCTGCAGTAGATCGGGTTTAGTAGCATAAATTACTGTTGTCTGCATACATGTGTTCAGCTGAGGCTTTGCAGACGTTAGGTAGATCATGTATAAATAATGCGAATAGCAGGGGGCTGAGTATGGAACCTTGGGAAACACAACACGTGACCAGCAGAGGGAAGGAGGTGCTATCAGAAATGGTCACATATTGCGATTTGTCTGAGACATATGATCGAAATCACGTTAGCGGAACAATACCTGAGTTTTCACGTTTTTGCAATGATCTAAGTATATATATATATATATATATATACTACACTTATATATAATTTAATTTTAAACTGTTTTGATTTTTTTTTCCAGGCAGCAGGGGGAGTACCTGTCATTACAGGCACTCCCCCTGCTGGCACTGCTTTGGACTGCTATGCCGTCCATGTGATCGCGAGGTCCTCACAAGGACCTTGCAATCACATTGCCCAGGGTGGCCGGAATGGACGGAGGGGGACTCCCTAGGCTACCAGGTGAGTCCCGACACCGCGATCACCGGCGTGGGATCGCCGATGACCGGGTAAGTAGAAAGGACGTCAGGGACGGGTTTAGTAGCATAAATTACTCTTGTCTGCGTACATGTGTTCAGCTGAGGCTTTGCAGACGTTAGGTAGATCATTTATAAATAATGCGAATAGTAGAGGGCCGAGTATGGAACCTTGGGAAACACCACACATGACCAGGAGAGGGAGGGAGGTGCTATCAGAAATGGTCACATATTGCAATTTGTCTGAGACATATGATTGAAATCACGTTAGCGGAACAATACCTGAGTCTTTAAGTTTTTGCAAAAGAATGCCATAAAGAATACTGTGTCAAAGGTCTTGCCAAAATCAAGGAAAATAGCTCCAAATGCCTGCAAGAATCCTCTGCAAGAGACACACAGAAACCCCAGATAATTGTTAGCCTTCAATGTGTCTCTTCATTAAAGTTTTTGTCAATATCCCAATAGCCAATGTGAGCACTTAATACATCTATTTCATCAGCATGCAGAGCTTACTTAGTCTAGTTTGTTTATCATATAAGGGTGCTTTAAGATGCAAGTACTTGGTACATAACACTTACAAGAAACAACAATGTATGTTTTGATCATTTATACATTGTTTTTAATTTTTTTAGTTTGTGCGGAAATACATTTGATGAAATGGGATTGAAAAATATTGAACAGCTGAAAATCCAAAAGAGAAATCTGAAGGTTGTTCTGAGGATTGCTGAAGATGTACAATTATTTAACTATGTGGAGGAGGAGATCCAAAGTTTATCTAAGACATGGCAAAACTACGATCAAGACTGGTTATTTAAGATTCTTGAAACTATACAGAATGACCTGTCGAAGGAGTACACTTGGGATCCTAATGTATTAAAAGAAAAGATCCTCAATCTCAGTAAACGGATTGATGATTTGAAAACTAGGATCCATCCAAATCACATGAGCTTTATGTGCCTCAAGAAAACAAGAGAGCAATGTGCAGAACCATAGCTTAATTGCTACAGTAGCATTCAACTATAATGTTATAGAGTCATTTTAACTATTTAGATTATTTGGCACATTGCAAGGAGGGGGTTGGGGGGGGGGGGGGTCCAAATATTTGCATTGTTTCTTTTTGTAAATTTATATGTTTTAAGCTTTTTTTTTTTAAATATATTGTGCACTTTATTCCTTTTTTTTTATTATAGTCAATATATACAAATCTTAATTCTGTTCTGTAGTTTTACTTTTGCTAGAGACTGTGCTTAAGTGATTTATATATACTTGGATGATTCCCAGTCTATTAGGATAATTATTCCACAGCATTGCAACAAGGGTACACATCTTTAAATAAGTGAGGTGTTTCCATGCTAGGAATCCTATGATTAAGTCTGAACATTCTACATGATACGGGCAGGGCTGTATTTACCACAAGGCAAACAAGGCATTTGCCTAGGGCGGCACTTTAAGGGGGGCGCCAGAAAATGCCACCTCAAGCTCCCAAACAAATGCCTTGTTTGCCTCATGTCCTGGGGCTGTCCTTCTTAGAGCCCCCAGAGGTGTTAAATTACTAATATTCCAGGCGGCAAGGAAGCGCTGTCCTCCACTCTTCTTGCTCACGCTCTGTGAGTCTGTGAGTGAGTGTAGCTGTCAGTGTGTGTCTGTGAGTGAGTTAAAGTGTGTGTCTGTCAGAGTGAGTCAAATCAGTGAGGATGGATAGGTCTGTGTGTGTCAGTGTATGTCTGGCAAATTATGTGTATCTGAGAGTGTGTCTGTCAGTGAGTGGGTGTGTCAATGTGTCTGTCAGTGAAAGTGTGTGTTGATTAAACAGTGTGTATACCAATGACTGTATGTGTATGCCAGTGCATGTGTCAATGAGGGCCTGTGTTTGTCAGTCAAAAAAGTGGCCTTGACAGGAATTTGGGGGGTGCCCTAATTTAGTTGTGTCTAGGGCAGCACAAATCCAAAATACACCACTGGATACGGGGGAGGAGGTGAGAATTGTTTGTTACTGCTGATGTGCAATTACTATTACTTTTGTATTTTTATGGATTCATAATAAAGCAAATTGCATATGGATTTGGACCACACAATTTTATTAACTATGCATTGAATAAAGTAGACTCCTTTGAGAAATTGTGACTAAGCGGTGACTTTTCTTTGAAAATGCAGCATTTACATTGCTGAGCCTACAGGTACAGGCTACAGACACAATTTCCCATAGGAAAGCATTGGGAGGCTATTGTGCATGTGTGGCAAAAAGCTGCACGACCAAAAAGCATCTCCATGGGGAGCATTCAGCGCGTTTATGCAGACCCAATCTAATTCACTGCTCTCTTCCCCCATTCTAATACACTGCCCACAAATCCAATACAGTTCCCCAAATCCAATCTAATACACTGCCTTCTTAATCTAATACACTGCCCCTACTCCCACCACTCTAATTTAATACACTATCCTCCTTACCACCAATTTAATACACTGCTCCCCCCTGCATTTACCACTCTAATACGCTGCCCCCCTGCCCAAATTTAACACACTGCCCCTACTCCCACCACTCTAATTGAATACACTGCCCGCCTTCCCCCCAATTTAACGCACTGCCCCCTTCATCCCCTATTTTAATACACTGTCCAACCCCCAATTTACCACACTGCCCCCATCACCACTCTAATACACTGCCCCCCCATCATCACTCTAATACACTGCCCTCTCTGTCACCAATTTAATACACTGCCCCTCCATCCCCTAATTTAATAGTCTGCCCTCCCCCTAATTTAACACACTGCCCCCTCCCACCACTCTAATACAATGCTCCCTCTCCCAATTTAATACACTGCCCCATTCCCTCCCCAAATTAATACACCATCCTCCCCCTAATTTAACACACTGCCCTACCTCCCACCACTCTAATACTTTCAAGGGAGGCAGTCCGTAGACCGGACCCATGTGCCTGATGTAGTTGATTAGGAGTCGTTAGCATGGTAGTGGATATGTAGGGCCTGGTGCAGGGTAACCGCGCGCCCCCTGGGGTTGAGCATCAGCGTTTGTGCGGCCACATACCAAGACCCTGTAGCAGCTTAGTGGATGTCAGAGCAGAAGTATGCTGAGATGTATCCAGTACTAGAAACAAGACAAGGCTAGAATAGGCACCAAACAAGACAAAACTAGTAGAACCCAGAACCAGAGAATGATAGAAAGCTAAACCCAGAACATGTACACAATACATAAGAGAAACTGTCACGATTGTCATCGTGCCTTCCACTAATATTGTGTTCTTGGGCCTGGTTGGGTTTGAATCTGAGTCTCCTGCTTCTCAGTCAATAGCCTTACCTTGGGCTCCACACATCCTTGGTTATTTTCTGATGGTTCCTGGTATCCTGTTGTCTGTGTCTCCCTGCTTGGACCCTGCACACCTGTTCCTGATATGTGGCTGATATTTCCCTATTTAAACCCTGCCTGGCTGGTGTCTAGCTTGTGTCAGATCGTTTTGTTCCTGTTTGGTGTTTCTGCTGTTAATCTGACTCCTGCTTCTTGATCATCTGCTCGTCCTTCGTTTATGCCTGTCCTGACTATTGATTCCGTCCCTGACTATGCCTTTTTGTATATTCCTTGCCTGTACCTCGTTCCTGGAAGCACTGGTTATTATCAGCCCCAGTGCACTGTTTCACCGCCTTGGGAATTTCTGCCTTGAGTCCCCTTGGCTGGTGTAAATTGGAAAGGGTGCTTTAAACTCTGCATGTTGACTCCCACTCAAGGTAAGAACATTACAGAAACATTGGGAATACAAAATAAAACAAGACAAGATATAATAGGCAAAACAAGAGGAGACAAAGCTAAGTACTGTATATGTAAAACATTGGAGATTTAGACATACGTAAATGGCCAAGATGTATGCAGCCCACCAACTGCGGCAAAGTACTCCAATTAAGGTGGGACCTATCTGCCTAGATATTCATGACTACTTAAACAATAATAAAACACACACAACACTTACCTGTATAAAGGGTAGAGGACTTGTAGCAACTGCCTGCAGGAACCAACTGAAACAAAGAGGATAAATGGAAAAGGAACAGGTGTGGCAACATTAAACAAACATTAAAGGAATCCAAGAGACTGGGAATGCCAGGAACGGAATACAGGAATGAACCTAGAAAACCAGAAAGAAACCAAACAAGAATTGTAAAAAGAGTACTGGATACCAAAAGCCAAGCCCAGACCTCTGAACAGACCTCCCCCAATTTAATACACTGCTCCTCCCTCCCCAAATACACTGCCCCCTCACCCAATTTAACACACTGCCCCCTCCCACCACTGGGCAGCAGCATTGTAACCTAGCTGTGTGATACCAAAGTGAATACAAATACAAAGAAACAAGTCCTGCGCTCAAACTCCCATTACTCCCGGGCGGCAGCAACGACCATAGTACACATCAGCCAAAATACATATAGTAAAAACCAAAGAAAAAAAAGTTACCTGCTCTCTTTCTACATCCCTATGTATTTTTAAACAAATGGAGGTTTTTAGTTACCTCCAATGGCCATGAGAGGGTATGCCCACCTGCCACGTCAAGGCACAACACAGCTAGGTTAAATGCTGCTGCCCATCCCATGTGTTCCCTATTAAGGGTTAATAAGCATGTAGGGATGTATATAAAAATTACCCCTTTCTGTCTCATTAGAGATATATTTGCCAGAAGCTCAAGAAAGCAAGGTGAATAGTTAGATTTACTACCCACCTAAGAACCCTGACGGATCCACCCCTGGTCCCATTCCCATCCTCCTACATATTCTTACATATCCAAAACCAGTCACACTGTCGACAATCATGTACCGCTGCCTGCGTTCGGGAGACAAAATAGCTGCCAATTGTTTGAATACATGCGCTTGGTTATACAAACGGCGACCACACAGGGATAGCACTTGAACTAATAATCTCCTGGATCTCCTACCACATGCTTTCCTTGACCGACTCAGGGATACGGTAAGATTCCTGTGGTTTCTACTCGGTGAGTAGCCAAAGCAGTGTACCCAGGCAGGTTGGAGAAGGTGGACCCCTTGGCCGTGATCAATTGCCGTACTTGGGTATGCTCCTGAGGACTATGTGACTATGGCCCCTGGCATGTATTGCCCTTTAAAGACATGATTTGGGAATAATGGATTTGTGTTGTGCTGCTGCTGCTGGCCCTTTAAGAACCATCTGGGGACATACTGTGGAGTTACTGGGTGGCCACCATTTCATAAATCAGAGGCACATGGTGAGAACAATGGATGAAGCACATGGTGAGAACAATGGATGGTGGCCATTTTAACTCACAGACACTGTGTGGACTTTTCTACACGGTGCCATCTCGCCGGTATTTGGTGCACAGAGACAGCATGCAGTGGTTTTGGACTATACAACAGGGGACACATTATACAGTAATTGTTTGTCATATAGCCTGTATATGTTTTGCGTAATCTGCATTAAACCGTATCTTCCAAACTACTGAACGGATCTGGGTGAATTTTGGATATGTGGTTCACCCAGATCCCCCGGTTCTGAGGATATACTATTTTTATGGGGTTATTGCATGTTTTGGGGTCCCTGTGATATGTTTTATGATACTGTATTTTTCCTGCTTGTGATAATTATGTTAACCCATTGTGTGCCATAATTAGATCACAGGCAGAGGGGAGGATTTTGTGTATAATTGCTAGGAGTGTTTTCTGTAATGAACGTGTGTTATTGGTTGTTCTGTAAAACCCTGTGGGCAGTACAAAATTTGTGGATTGGGAATAAAAGAGGCTGTATGTGCCAGTACAGTCTGTTCCTGCTTGACCCTCAAAACAGAGCCTTGTCTCGTTCTTGGGGGCGGGGGATTTATTGTATGCTGTTCCAGTTCGACTGCTAGGAGTGTAAACCTTTCGTATGGTTTTTCCTATTCAGCTGTTTACAGCATTCGTATGGTTCCGCTTTGGCTCTTTACAGCATTCATATGCTTCTCCGGTTCGATGGATTGGTGTCTACAGTGGCGGTTTAACCCTTTTATGTCCGGGGTGCCGTTACAACAACATCCCCAACAGAGCACCGTTCTCATATCTAGAACTGAAGTCACTACTTACAGGAGTAACGATACAAAGCCACGAGACACTACACAGACACAAGATAGAAAAATTCTGCTTGACGGGCAGATCCCCCAAGAAAACACTATATACATTGTACACTGCACTGCTAGTAGATAAAGCGGAGACTGACATGGCATTTCAAAAAGCCTGGCACAAAGAACTGTGGCACGCTTTGGGGGGTGACCTCTGGCAGCGGGCCTTTACAATTCATAAAGGACACATACTATGCACTACACACCTCGAGATCATTCAAAAGTTGCAATATAGGTGGTACATGGTACCAGAGAAACTATCTACAGTATACCCAGGTTCCCCCAACATATGTTGGAGATGTGGAGACACAGGGGCTCAATGGGTCACATATGGTGGTCCTGCACAAAAATCAGGCCATATTGGGAAGAAGTGGGGGTCATAGCGAAAGAGTTACTGGGTAGACCATGGCCACTAAACATAGAGCAAAGCATTCTATTCATACTACCAACCACATTACGCAAAACAGAGGAGAGACTGCTATTCCACCTGCTAGTGGCCACGGTGATGCTTATAGCTAGAGCATTGAAGTCACTGCAAGCACTCATGAAAGAGGCCCTAATTGACCAAATCTCTCTCAATTGGAAATATGAGTTGATGACCAACAAACACATAAGACCACTGAAACACACAGGTCAAGTGGGGGAGAGATAGAGGGCATACCTGGGTGAACACCACCCATAAAACAGAGGATAAGGCCTAATGGGAAGGGAAAAAGAGAGGAGGAGGGGAAAGAACAAGAGGGGACAAAGACCGAAGACACAAAATGCGTAATGTTGCATCAATCTTCACTATCTGGAAACTGTTAGAACAGTGGAACACACATCAAGCTGCAATGGAACGCACGCTGTGATCATCTAAACAGCCATTGTACATCTCGGACTCCCAGCTGTGGCTATTGAGTGGCTACTTAAAAAGACTGAACATACCCCATTTACAATACCTTGGGTTGTCTTCTTTTGCAAATGGTATGCTACCATGGGGGTAATTCTCATTTCTGGGCTACCATTCGGTCTCAAAGGCAACCTAACCAATCTGGCAAATTTCAATGTGAAAAAATGGAGAATCAAGCCTTATATTTGACCCTGTAACTTTAAAAAAACACTATGAAACCTGTACTTGAGAGGTACTGTTATACTTGGGAGACTTCGCTGAACAAACAGTAAAACGTATCACAACAATGATATCATCAGTGAAAGTGCCATTTGTGTGTGAAAAATGCAAAAAACATCACTTTCACTGACAATATCATTGCTGTGATATGTTTTACTGTTTTGAAACACTAATATTTGCGTTCAGCAAAGTCTACCGAGTAAAACAGTAACCACCATGTACCAGTTTTATGGTGTCCTCCGTCAATCGCTGCTTCCTAATACTGGCGAGTACCATAAGCACTGCACTGGAAACACCATAATCACCGTAAACCCCAAGAACCGCCGCAGCTTGGTTGGGGTCTCGTGGTCCTCCACCCACCCTGGACCCAAGACCAGGATCCAGCTTCCAGTGGGTAGGCTTCTCTTAGTCCCGAGAGCATAGCAGGAACAGCTCTTACAAGAACTTAGTGATTATACTTAGGAGAGTATAGTGGAACACCCACTGGACCTGATGGGGCACAGGACACAAATTGTACAGACCAATAGAAACAATGTAACAATGCCTGACTGTCAGGGGTGGCGGTCCGGTGCCCGGGACCCAGACACTGTCCGGGCGGCGGTGCGTGGACCGGGACCCATTATGCCTGATGTTGAGAGCAGGAGTCACAGTGTGGAGGTGGATTAGCAGGGTCTGGTGCAGGGCAACCGCACGCCCCCTGGTGTTGAGCACCAGCGTTTGTGCAGCCACATACCAGAACCCTGATTCAGCTTATGCGGATCCCAGGAACTAGGAGCAGGTAATTAAGCAGACCTCCCAGGAGCTGAATAGGGAGGCTCTGCAGCAGGAGTGTATCCAGTACTGAAGCAAGGCAGAACTAGGAGAGCAAGGCACCATACAAGAAAACAAGACCAAACTAGGAGAACAAGGAAAGACTAGAGATAGGCACCATGCATGAAAACAAGACAAAACTAGGAGAGCAGGGCAAGACTAGAAATAGACACCATACATGAACACAAGACAAAACTAGGAGAACCCAGAACCAGAGCAGGACAGAAAGCATAACCTAAAACATGTACACAAGACATGAAGAAACAAGAACATAACATGAGCATGACTGGACAGGACTGTACATGGGCTGGGATTACAAGACAAGAGATACAAGGTAAAACAAGAGGAAACATAGCTAAGCACTAATTGAAGATTATGCTAGCGCAGTGTACTAATAATCTTAATTTTAATAATGACAGGAGGCGACTATTTGCATTAACTTTCTTTACTAGCTCCACAGCAGCAAAGAAAAAAACCATTAAAGAAAGAACCAATCAGAGTAAAACAGAGGATATATAAGTCCCAGCGTAGCCAACCATTTCCTCTTGACTACTGCGACATCACAAGATCCTAATGCGGTAATAAGTCTGTTGTAACTTTATTCCAACTGTCATAACGTAATCCAACATGGTAACAATAATGGCCTCTTCAGCCTTCCCATCATCCTTGTGGCTTGTCAAACTGAAAAGAAAGAGAGACTAGTATCAGCGATACGGAGATGACAATAGAAAACAAGTGTCTGGTTATGAGTTAACTTCTCAGAAACTATATTATAATTCTTAATACCATTATAGTTCAATAAACCCTATAATAATTACAGCAGTATGTTATCCTAACCCATGGTAACTTAAAGCAAGATAAGGGACCATCATACTCATACTCCTTAAACTTACCTTCATTTGGGCGGGCACCTCTAGGAGAATGAAAGGGTGGGAAAATACTCGCCTCCTGTCATTATTAAAATTAAGATTATTAGTACACTGCGCTAGCATAATCTTCAATTTTATAACATGACAGGAGGCTTCGTATTTGCAGTTTTAACGCTTAGGTAGAAGAGCAAAAGCAGCATTGGACGACAGGCGAAAATAGAAGGTTCAAAAGATAGATTCTCGGGACCAATCTGCCGTGTGTAGGATGTCCGACAATTCGAGAAGGTCCTGGAACCAGGGCTGACTCGGCCAGAGGGGTGTCAGCAGGGTTAGTCGGACCCTCCGTCTGCGTAGATGATTGAGAACTCTCGCAGTCATGGCAAATGGGGGGAAGGCGTATGCTCCCTGTTGTGGCCAGTGCTGGGTGAAGGCGTCTACTGCCATACAGTCCGGATCCGGTAGCCAGCTGTAGAATGGTGGAACCTGCCAGTTGTTGCGTGAGGCAAAGAGATCCAGTATAAAGGGTCCCTTCTGGTCTTGTAGATTCACGAATATTCGCTGGTCCAACTGCCAATCGCTGGCATCCCTCCAATGATGGGAATACCAATCCGCTGTGAGGTTCGTCTCCCCTGGTAGGTGTTCTGTGCGTAACATGATATTGCGCGGGAGGCAGTAATCGAAGATTTCCTTCGTCAGATGCACTAGCGTTCGTGACCGGGTACCTCCCAAATGGTTAATGTACCGTACCGCCGACACATTGTCCATTCGTAATAGTATACAGCAATTGGACTGCCCTTTTGCAAGGCTGCGTATAGCAAAGGAGCCCGCTAGTAGGTCGAGGCAATTGATGTGCATCGATAATTTCTGTGGCGTCCACGTTCTCCCTGTGGATGTTTCTCCATCCATGGCGCCCCATCCCATGTGGCTCGCGTCCGATTCCAGGACGAAGTCCAGTTGGCTGCTGAAGATGGCCCGACAGTTCCAGGCCTGCATACAGTGGAGCCACCACTGGAGTTCTTGATAGACTTCCTCCGACAGTGGAACCGGTTGGTTGTATGTGGAGTTCTGGCGAAGGAGGCTGGCCTTCAGTCGTTGCATCGCCCGGTAGTGAAGGGGTCCCGGAAATATGGCTTGTATTGAGGATGATAAGAGTCCCACGATCCGCGCCAGTTGACTGAGCGGAATGGAGTCCAATTTGAGAACCCTGCGGATCTCCTTCCTGATGGCCGTCACCTTGGCGGATGGGAGATGCAGGGTGCAGGACCTGGAGTCGATCTCGAAGCCCAGGAATTGGATTCGTTGGGCGGGTGTCATAGCGGACTTGGCCCTGTTGACAACGAAGCCCAAGGATTCTAATAGTCATACTGTATGCGCAGTGTGTTGGACGGCCAGTTCCCTCGTTCTGCAGAACAAGAGAATGTCGTCCAGATAAATTATGCATCTGATCCTGTGTGTTCGGAGGTGTGAGACCACTGGTTTCAGCATTATTGTGAAGCACCACGGTGCCGAGCTCAGTCTGAATTGCCACGTGAATTGCCATGGGGAGTCGTTCCAGAGAAAACGGAGAAAGGGCCGGCTGGAATTGCCAAGTAAGCGTCCTTGAGGTCTAGACGTGTAAACCAATCTCTTTCTTGGAGGAGGTCTCTCAGTAAATGTATGCCCTCCATATTGAAGTGGCGGTAGGTCACATACGTGTTCAGTCCTCTTAAATTGATCACTGGCTGGAAGTCCCCGGTCTTCTTGCGGACGAGGAACATGTTGCTGAAGA